GTCACAGGTTCAACTCTCGGGGTCTACACAGGTACTGTACACAGGTAGGGGAAGGTCTAGGGATCGAGCCCTGGGATCTGCATCTGCTACTGCAACGAGGTGAAAACCGTTTCACTCCCGCCATCCTAAATTCGAGGTCCTCCGATAATATTTCAGTCCAAGGCAGGACCTTTGCCCTTCTTATCACGCTCGTAGGCTCTGACTATGTCGGGAGCTGTTTCTAGCAGTTCTGTTCTAGTGAACCAGCGGTCATCTTCCGGTTCTTGATACTGTCTCTGTGGACGACCTCTACCTCCTGTCCTGAGCACAATTTCATCTACAATGCCGTCAATGTCATATCTTCCATCCATATCCGGAGGGATCATGGATCTTCTTGAAGGGAACTGCTGACTTGTGACACACGGCAACAGGTTTGAGGCATGGAACACTGGGTAGGTATGGAGGTGTGCTGGAATCTCTATAGTGTAGGAGGGTCCGTCCTCTCCGTCCTTAATTTCTAGAACCGGCCACGGTCCTCTATATGCAGGCAGTAACTTCTGTGACATGTTCTCCTCAGGTGCAAACTCTTTAGACTTGACCCAGACTAAGTCGCCCACCTGAAACTGCGATGGGCGACGGTGCTTATTAGGTTCTATCATTCTGTGCTGGGCCTTCCTGAGGTTCTCAACAACAGTTGCTATCTCTTTCTCGTGCTGTATCGCAAACTCCCTGGTGCCGGGCGGTAGCCTGTGAATCCGATCGCGGTTCAGCCCTTCAAACGGTCTGCGTGGTCTAAAGGACTTGTGCAACTCATTGGGAGTGCGACAGGTAGACAAATGCACGCTGTTGTTATAAGCACTAGCTACTTTGGGTAACATCTTGTCCCAGTTGATCTGATCTGGTCTAATGTACATGCGCAGAACTTGCTGCAGGATCTTGTTCATCTGCTCAGTCTGGCCGTTAGTCTCTGGATGGCGGCCAGACGACATCAACAACTTTGACCCATAAACTCTCATGAGTTCCTGCCAGTTCTGGCTAGTGAAACGACTATCTCTATCACTAACTATAGACAACGGGACTTCATGTTCACTGACCCAAAAATCAAAGAACTTCTGAATGACTAATTCGGTCCGTGCCTCTGCAGGCAAAGGAACAAAAACTGCATACTTGCTAAATCGGTCAACTATGACCATGACTTGGCTCTTACCATGCCTACTCTTGACCTGAGTATCCATGAAATATATGGACACGGAATCTCCAGGCTGATCAGGAATAGGCAGAGGTCTGAGAAGACCTAGGGGCGAGCGCGTAGTAGTTTTATTCCTCTGGCACACTTTACAACTGCGAACATACTCTATGTAGTCATTGTTCATCCCCGGCCAGGTATACGCACGCATGAGATTGGCTGATGTCATTTGCCAACCGAAGTGTCCCTCTGTGTCATGGCATTCCCCTAGAATCAGACTTCGGATCTCCTCGCTGTTGGGGACGCATAGACAATCGAACACATTAGTCTTCTCGAACAGTAAACCCTCTGTACTGCGGTAGTCTGGCTCAGTCTCTGGGGCCTCTCTAACTTTCTTTAGAAGGTCATTATAGATAGGGTCCTGCGCATACGCTTGCCTCACTTTCTCCTGCAGGTCTCTCCCTATATCTTGATAGTGTACTATAGCTCCGAAGTAGTCTGATCTCCTACTCAGAGCATTCGCAACAACGTTATACTTGCCTTTGACGGGCTTAAGCTCAAAGTCATATTGGTCTATCTCAGCGGCCCACCTAGTCAACTTAGGTGTCATCTTGGCCTGCGTCTTTGACCAACGAAGCGTCTCATGGTC